CACAGGAGGGAGGCGAGGGCTGAGGCTGGGAATAGTCAGGACCAGGGTGCCACTGGTTACAACAGGAATGTGCTTGCAGAGCTGAGAAGGGCAGGAGGCCAAGAAAAGCTCTTGGTCAGGTCAGCCAGCCCCTGGCTCCCAGGAAAGCTTGGAAGCGGGTTAAAAGCATGTAGCTGGGCTGGGATGTGCTCAGACACATGGGCAACAGCTTCCAGGAACAGAGACCTTGGGCAAAATAGCTGAGTGGCTGGCCAAAGGCTGTACTGAAGGGAAAGAAGGTGGAGAGATTTGTGTCTGAGCTCCTGACTGTGCCTTACATCTTCCCCACAGTGCTACGAGACATCAGTGAGCGAGGCAGGGACCTCGAGCAGATCTTATCTCAGTACATCACCTTCGTCAAGCCTGCCTTCGAGGAGTTCTGTTTGCCGGTAAGTCAGGGGAGTGACATCCACGGGAGTCTGCCAAAAACACCTCATACCCTGCCCAGCTCCTCAGACAGGGGCATTTTGTGCCCAGAGCTCAGCTCAGCCTTCTGTGCATTGCTCCTTCCCTGCAAGCTCTGGCCAAAATGGGGCTGCCAGTGCTGGCCGGGGCAGAGCAAGATGGGGACTATTTATACAGCCACTGCCTTCCTGGTGAGATCACCGTTCCCTAGGGGAAGGTGACATGACAAGAGAAACCCCTCCCTGCACAGGGCCTGACAAACCACTGGGCATCTCAGCAGGTGCCAGCCTGGGAGGGAAGATCCTTGGCTACCTTTAGCCAGGGAAGGGGAGATCACCGCCCCCAGGTAGTGTCTGCTGTGGCTGCCTACTCTTTTGGGCTGTCCTGCCTGCCCTTTCCACTCTCCAGTGCTGCTGCTTCATGCTTGGGAGAGCAGGGAAGCTGCTGCTTCTCTCCACACCATGGGATGTGGCCTTGCAGGTTGCATTTCCTGACTGGTGAGTGGCCAGGGTGGGCCAGGGTTGCAAGGTCTGCCTGGAGAAAGGAAGCTCTTTTGGGAGCTGTTACTGGAGGCAAGACTCCCTAGCAGACAGGCACTGTGCATGTGGGAGACCAGTCCTGCAGAACTTGCAGGGGAAATAGTATGTTTGCAGGATTAGCCATTGTACACCTTTCCTGGCTCTCATGGAGAGGATCCTGTGCCTTGGTTCTCAAGGCTTTTTAGGCAGATGTGGTAGTTATATGAGGAATTTTTGTCTTAGTCTGGAGGAACTGAGCCACTAGAGTCCTGCAACCTGGGAACTGCTGGCTAGCATCACAGGCAGGAATTAAACCTGTGCCTCCAGCCTCAGGAGCATCTCTGTGCCAGCCTAGCCAGCTCTACCCTTTCCCATAAGAGGGGCTGATTTTTTCTGTGCTACAGGATCTTTTCCTGGCTCCTATGCAGCTCCCTTTTCTCCGCTGTGGCTCTGGGGACCATTTCCAGTGTAATCCCAGAAAGGCTTTTCCCAAAAGGCAGGTCCAGCTTGCAAGGCTCCTCTCCTTGCAATCCCCAGCAAGGTAAAGCAGCAGATGCTGCTTCATCAGTGTCTTCTGATGAAGAGTCTGTAGGAGGATGAAATGTGAAACAGGGAGGGCAGAAAACTGCTTTGTCCCTACCCACAGCTTTGCAGTGGTCTGCTCCCACTTCCAGCCCTGTGCTCAGTGGCAGAGCAATTGCATGCAGATATTGAGCACGCTCAGCACCCACTGTTGCTGTTATTCGACTCCTAAACCAGCTCTGGGCCGAGCAGTCCAGCACTGAAATGGTCCAACGTATCCTGGTGATTTTTGATATGTCTGGAAGCACTCGGAGGTGTCAGGTGACACCCATCACCCAGCTGGCTTGGTGGAGTTTGGCTGTCAGCTGTAAAACTGACACAAATGGGGGAGGAAACTGAGACTGGCACCTGCAGGTGAAACTAGGTCAGAACTGGTGTCCTGAATCACACCTTCTTTGCAAGCAAGGTGGTAGGGAATTCTCCCCCCATTCTGAGCAGATCATGTGGCTGTGCTCAGGCAAGTCTGGATGGATTCAGTGAGAAGGATGTTCCCAAAAGCATCAGATGCTGGAGTCTTGTGATCATGAGGCTTCTTAATTCCAGGTTTTGTTAGGGTGCCTCTTACTGGCGTCTCTATGAGCTCAGGAAAATGGAATCAGGGCACAAAGCATAACCCTCAAAACACAGAGCAGAACACCAAAGAGAGCATCCAAAATGGTTTATCAGCAATCAGTGGGTTTGGGTTTGGCAAGGGGAGGGCAAGGACCTGCCCCAGGAAGCAGGGATGATGCCCCAGCCTGGTGTCTCTCCAATTTCCCTGTAACACAGTGCTCTCTCTCCTCCCAGACCAAGAAGTATGCTGACGTGATCATTCCCAGAGGAGCAGATAATGAAGGTAAGTGGACCCAGACCCCTGGCAGGTGGCTTTGGGCTGTTGCTCTTGCAGTGGAATTATGTAGGAGGTAGCAGGACCTGCCACGGAGGTGACCCAGGCCGCTGCCACCCGAGAGAGTGCTGTTAACACACTCTGCTGAGATGAGCCTGTTCCCTTTGCTCCTGCCTGGAGCATTAGCGACTGGGAGTTTGTGTTTCTCTGCTCAAGCCTAAGAGCCCATCTATATTCAGTACTTCCAAGCAAACTCCTGGTTCATCTCACATAAAGGGAAATGCACTTCTTCAAGGCCTGGGTCAGCCAGGCCTGGAATCAGCCTGACCATACTGGCTTGAGTGCCGGGCTTAGCTGGGGCAGAGGGATAAAGTCCCAGTGGGGCAACGGGGCAGCTCCTCCCCGCAAGGTTGGGATAGGAGGGGACCAGGAGCAGGAGAGAGAGACAGCAGGGGCACCTGCTGGTTGATTTGCAGCGATCCTAATGCAACCTCTCCCCCTTTTGCTCACAGTGGCCATAAACCTGATAGTGCAGCACATCCAGGACATTCTTAACGGAGGACTCAGCAAACGCCAGAGCAACGGCTACCTGAACGGCTACACTCCTCCGCGCCAGCGGCAGCCCTCAGAGTCCAGCAGCCGGCCTCACTGACCCCGGGCGGAGGCGTGAGGCTGCGGGCCGGGCACCAGGCCCTGCCCCTGCCCCTCTGTACATACTGTCCGTTCGATCCCCCCTTATCTATTTAAGAAACCAGACGGAGACGAATGCCTTTAATTTTGTATGTTCGAAATGCCGAATGAGAAGCAGCCGGTTGCTCGGGAGCCCGGACCGCCCACAGCTCCTGGCCTTGCTCAATAACTCCTCCAGCACGGAACCGGCTATAAATCTCTATAAATATAGAATTGCTCTATTTTTGTGTAAATGCAGAATAACGTAAAATTACTTGCCATAAGGTATTTGCCAGGCTCGGTGTTGCTGGGAGGGGCCGGGAAGAAGGTCCTGGGAGATGTTGGTGTCAGGATCTTCACCTCAAAGGCGGTAAGGAAGGAAGAACATTCAACAACTGCGTTAGTATCCCAGGTCTCCATCCCAGGGAAGGGCTGGGCTGTGGTGGAGGTGGCAGCTTGAGTGTGGCATGAGTGTTACAACTGGGCTGGGGCTGCCTCCTCCTGCCATTGCTGTTCAGGTCCGAGCAGCCTGGTGTTGGCTGGCAGGCGCTGGACAATGCCACTGGGAGCTAGGAGAATGATGTGGAAATACCTCTCCCTGACTGTCTCTGCACCTCCAAGTCTCAGTCCCTCAACAGCATCCCATTCTGTGTCTGAAACCCCTTCCCACCACAGGTGTGGGGCTGCTGTCTCACCCTCCAGCAAGGGCCTGGTAGGTGGTGCTGGGAGTGTGGTTACATAGACATGGCATCTCGCATCTTTAGCAGTCTCACTGCCTGGCTTGTGTGGGGACAGCATGTGGATACCTTCAGTCCCTCTGGAGTTTGGGGGCCATGTCTGTGGTGGCACCGCTACTTGAGCCCTGGGCTCAACCCTGAGCCTGGAGGTTGGCTTGCAGGTCACAGCTGTGCCTGTCATTCCTCACTTGGAAAAGTTCTGCTCTTGTATGGGGGATTTGGGGTCTGTGACATACAGTTAAGGGGGAACCAGCCTCTTCTAAAAGAAAGGGGCAATAGATGATAAAAGGCAGCTGAGGGGGTAAGCATTATGTAATGGTCCCTGGACTGCTTGGCATCCCCGTGTGGGATATCCACAGGTCCCAGCAGGGTAGTGTGAAACTGGGTGCCCAGAAGTCCCCTGCTTCCCTTTTCCAGGGCATGCTCTTGCCTGGCCTGTGTCCCTTTCATTGTGTCCTGGTAGACAACACTGTCCCTGCAGTATGTTGTCCCAAGGGCTGCCCAGGCAAGCCCTCCCTTGCCCAGGGTGAGAATTAGTCTCCCCTAATCTAGTACTGCTACAACAGCTGTATCTGGGGGTCCTGGTGGGGTTGTACTGCAGATCTGGGAATGCCTGGGGAGCGAGGTGGGGCAGTTGGGCTGGGGCAGGGGCTTGGTGGGAGCTACTGAAGGGGATGTAGTGTGACAGTAGCCAGGAAAGATCCTTTGCCTCATGCTGCTGAGACCGATTTCCTCTACTGGAAACAAAATTTCATGGGCATCCATCCCACAAAGCCTGGAGCAGGAGCCCTTAGACTTGCTCTCTCTGATAATTTTCAGTCTTTCCAGAGCATGGGTTTTGCTCTATATGGTTAAAAATTTAAGACCTTAGACCATGCGCTGTTGCTCTCCAGCCCGATGTGAGCCGAGACAAGCTTTGGTCTTTACAGAGAACGAGAAAGGAAACACCTCCCCCCAGTGACTGCTGCCGGGGCAAACTCATTCCCTCTTGGTCTGCGATGGGGCCACATGGCAGCCCTTTATTCCCCTCCCTGCCTTCCAGCACTTCCCAAGGCATGCCAGTTTTGCCATAAGCAAGGGCTGGCACTGGCTAATTCTACCTATTGCTGTAGGTAAGAGCGACCACAGCCCTGCAGAACTGGTGAGGCTTCTCAGGGCTTAAGCAGCCAAGACAGCTCTCAAGATAAAATACTGGCCTCCTCTCCCCAGTGAATAAAGACAGAATAAATGGATGCTGGTGTTTATTGTCTCCTGTTTGGTACTGCATGTTGCTGACTGCGGTCCCAGAATGCAAGCAGACTTGGCCAACGTTGTCTTAGTTGTGCAAGTCAAAGCCAAACCTGGAGCAAAGCTGCTGGCACAGACTGCTGCTTTGGTGAAGAAGGAGGTGCTGGAGGCAGTGGCTCTGGCTTTTGGCTGGCCAGCCATTTCTCAGCAAGTCCTGGTGCACATGTGCCTGGGGGTTTTGTGGAACCCCTCTGTGCTCTCAGGATAGCAGGGAGGGGGACAAGTTCAGCCCTTCCCAGTAAGTATCTTGAAGAGATGACAGTCAAGTGGATTTCATCAAAAGACCTCACAGGCAGGGTGGCATTAGCACTAGTGGGGTGTCAGGCAAGGGTGAGGCTGTTTTTAGCAAAGGAGTAAATAATTTTGTGGTGAACCACTTGATGTCAGCATGGGTTCACAGAGGGGAAGTCCTGCCTAAATGATGTGATAACTCCCTCAGAAGAAATGACTGGCTTGGTAGATGAGGGAAAAGCAGGGCATGTTGTCTACCCTGACTTGTGTCAGGCTTTTGATATGGTCCCCTGTAACATCCTCATAGTGAAGCTGTTGATGTATGGGCTGGATGAGCCTAGAGATAGATGGAAAATGGGCTGAAAGGCTGATCCCAACAGCGTGGTGATCAGTGGTGTAGGCAGGGGTCCACAGTAGGTCCAGGCAATTAAACATCTTCACTGAAGATCTGCATGATGGAGAAATCTGTTGACAGAAACTTTTTGATGTTCAACAAAGGGAATTGCAAAGTCCTGCACTTGGGAAAGAACAATCACATGCACCAGTACGTGCTGGGGCCGCCCATCTGGAACACCTCTTCAGAGAAGGCTGTGAGGGTCCGGGTTAGCCTGCAATGTGCCCTTGCAGCAGAGAGCTAAGGGTATCCTGGGCTTCTTTAGGGAAGTGTTGCTGGCATGTTGAGAGAGGTGATCCTTCCCTTCTGCTTGGGTGAGGCCACACCTGCATGCTGTGTCCAGTTCTGGGCTCTCCAGTACAGGAGCTACTGGTGAGAGTCCATCGAAGGGTCATGAAGGGATGGAATGTCTCTCCTATGAGGAAAGATTAAGAGATGTAGGATTGTTCAGGCTGGAGGAGGCTGAGGGGGAATCTTATTAATGCATATAAATAGCAGGAGGGAGGGTGAAAAGACAGGACCAGTGATAGGACATGGATACAAACTGAAAAAGAAGGGGTTCCCTCTGAACATCAGGAAACGCTTAAGTGCTGTGAGAGTAACAGCATTGTCACAGCTTGTCCAGAGGTGGTGTGTAGTCTCTATTCTTGGAGTTATTAAAAGCCACCTGGAGAAGTTCATGGGTAACTGCTCGAGACAACCCTTTCTGAGCATGGGCTTGGACAAACAGCTGCCAGGAGCCTTCTGACCTCAGGCAGTCTGTGAATTTTAAAGATCTTTAAATCTCCCCGTTTGGCTGGGAGAGGAGCTGGTGCCAGCTTTATCCCTTCTCTGGGGTCCCTGAGCTCAGCTATGAGCCGTGTCCCTGTCCCTCCTCAGGGGGACTTCCAGCACAGCTGCCCCTGCAAGTCCCCCTGTGCAGTTTCCCCTCAGGTGAGAATATGGTGATGTGCTGATGCCAAGGTGGGGACAGGATTGCTGTGGGGAAGAACTTGCTTCTGGCCTCTGGCAGTGACCATGGGCAGAAGCAGCACCCCCCTGTCCCCAGCACCCATTCTAAGGATTAAAGAACCCATTGGCCCCTGCCACCTTACAGGGACACAGGGAGCAACCACCACACACCTTACAGGGACACGGGCACACCCGGGGCGCCTCGGTGGGACACAGACAGCGGCCAGGAACCTCTTGGGGATGTGGATGGACACCCTGACAGAACGGGAGCCCCTCTCCTTGGGAATGTGGTACCCGTGGGACACCTCATGGCCATGGGTAGCTGTTCTGCCTCAGATCCCACCCTGCATGGACAGCAGTGCTCACCTGTTCCGCTGCCGTTCCATTGCCAATGGCCAAGCGCTGGCTCTAGCTGGAGCTGGGACCAGGGGATCTGGGGAAGGTCCTGCTCTTCCGAAATCTTTCTGCTACCTTCCTTTGGTAGTACTCGTGCCGTAGCTGTTGCAGGTAAAGGCGATGCACAGACCTGGTGGTCCTGAGCAGCAGCATGGTTTCAGCCCTCATCATCTTGTAAAATTGGGCATGGCTAAAGGTGCGTTCTGCCCGGCGGCCTGTCCTCACGGACTGTGAAGCTGCCTGTTCCCTTCCCTGGAAGTGACAGAGCCAGGGGCACAATGAAGTGCACAGGAGCTTGAGGAGCCAAGAAGGGTCCTGTTGGCCTTGTCTTCCTCTGGGAGCACTTCAGCCTTAACAGGACTGCTCCAGGCAGCACGCTGGGCTGAGGAAACCTCTGGCAGGTTCCATGTCATGCTGGGGGCTTCCAGAGAGTGTCAGACCTGTGGCTTGTTGTGTCCCTGGGGAAGAGGCAGAGGACCCCTCGGGGCCTGCTAAGGCTCTCTTGCCCATGCTGGGTTTTGGTTTTTCGTAGCCAAGGCTGTTGTGCTTACCTGCACCTGTCTCTTCCTGTATGACTGCTCTTGAGTGCTCGCCTGACTCTGGGGTTCCCGCACATTTCTGCAGATGCGAAGTATAATAAAAGCCACACCAATCACCCCCATGATTTCCCAGTTCCTGCAGAGCAGACGGGGCATGTCCCCCCAGGCAAGGTAGACCCAAAGCTGGCCCAGAGGGTAGGGCAGGTCAGAGGCTGCGCTCCCTGTGACAAGGGATGGTTTTTTTGGGCCCTTAGGAATGATGGCTGTCTTGACCCTGACCCTCTTGGCGGCAGTGGGTGACAGAGACAGGCTCCAGAGCACCAAGGCCAGGGACAGCACCAGGAGGAGCCTCATTGAGGTCTCATTGAGGAAACCACCTCAACATGCTGTGACCCAGAGCAGAGCTCGGGCAGCGGCCACCTGGATTGAGGGGTCGCCCTGCTGGAACGTGTTTGCAGGTGTAGCCAATGTGTTGTCACAGGCTGCTGTGGCACAAGGCTCTGGGATGTCACAAAGGCTCTTTCCACCCGGCCAGCAGGTGATGAAGGCTGAGGCGGAGCTGGAGAGGACCTGGGTAGGCACTTTTTGAAGCCTGCTGCTCCCACTGCTGTGCCTTGGAGGGGAATATTGAAATCTTCCTCCCCTGGGCACCCCCTGGGACCCCCACCAGGACATGGGCACCCTGCTGGGATGTGAGGCCCTCCTCCTGGAATGTGGCACCAGGAGAGCCCCTCACAGCCATGGATGCCTGCTCTCTCCCACCTCAATTCTCCCATGGCTCCCAGAGCACACGTTCTGGAAGCCTGCAAACAGCAGCCTGGCTCACACCCCTGCCTTCCATGTTGCTCCTTCTGTGGACGCCCTCGGTACCCAAAGGACTTGCAGAGGAACAATAAACTTCATTGATACGAACAGTGCAAGAGGATTCTGAAAGTAGGCTGCTCCCAGCAGGAATTTTGCTGAGTTTTGCAGATGTCTCTGTGCATGGGCATGCTCTGACTGTCATGTTTGGGGAAACAGAGCCTGGCCTTTGGGATGCCAGTGGGCCCTGGCGACACCTTTGGGAGGGTGGCAAAGGGGACCCCCCCCACCAGAGAGTTGCTAAATTGCCCGCTGGCTGTTGTGCTGCGTGGACATCCTGCAGAGAATTCACTGCTATCTGGAAGAAAATACTCCAGCTGGCATTGTTACCCACCTACTTCCAAGCCACTACCCCTCTTCCAGGTGCAATGCTTGCAATCACACCAGCTTTGGAGATTCTAAGGACTAAGGAACCCAGTGGGTCATGGGCAGGCACTGGGCACATGTTACAGGGACATGAGGAACAACCACCACTGGCAAAACAGTTCACAGAATCATAGAATATCCTAAGCTGGAAGGGACCCACAAGGATCCCTTCAAGGATCCCATCAAAGTCCAACTCCTGTCCCTGCACAGAATCACAGAATGGTTAAGGTTGGAAGGGACCACAGTAGGTCATCATTTTTCATCGTTAGGGTGGTCAGATATTGGAGTCACCATCCCTGGAGGTGTTTAAGAGGTATCTGTAGCTGGGCGATGTGGCTTAGTGGTTTAGGGGTTACAGTGGGCAGCGCTGGGTTGATGGTTGGGCTCATTAGATCTTACAGGTCTCTTCCAACCTTGACGATTCCGTGATTCTATAATTCTACGACACGACCCACGGGGCCCTGCGCACGCAGTGGCCTCTGCCGCTCACGGGGACACGGGCTCCAGGACACGGGCACTGGTCACCACGTGGGCCGGCGGGGCAGGGCCGGCGGGGCAGGGGCTGGCCGGACACACCGCCCCGCGCTCTCGCCCAGCCCCGCTGCGGGAGCGCTGCGGGGCCGTGCCCGCCCCGGGGGCCGGGCCGTGCGGGCGCTGCTCTGCTGCGGCGGGCGGGCGGCTCCGGGGGCGGAAGGGGCGGGCGCGGCCCGGCGCGCACCGGCGGCGGTTGGCGGGGGCCGGGCCGCTTCCTGCGGCTGAGGACGCGCTCGGGCGGCTCTGCGGGACCGCGGATCGGCGGCGGCGACCCCGCGCCCGGCGTGAGTGAGCGAGTGAGCGAGTGAGCGGGGCTGTGCGGGGCCGGCCGGGCAGCGGCGGCTCCGCGGGGCTGCCCCCGCCGGGGCGCGGCGGGGCGAGCTCGGCAGCGCTGCCCTGCCCGGGCACCGCCGGGGCCTGGGCCCGCCTCTGCCGGCGCTGGGGCGGCGTGCGCGGCTCCGCGGCTCGGCTGGGCTCGGTCCCTGGGCCGGGGTCCGGTCCCCGCGCGCTGCGGGTCGGCTCCTCTCCCGCCCCTGCCCCCGGCACCGGTGCCCGTCGCGCAGGAGCTGCCGCCGAGAGCCGAGTGATGCCCGCGGGAGCCCGAGAGCCCGGGCCAGGCTGTGCTGGGAAAACCGCCCCTCCAGCCTGTTGCTGCCCCGCGGGCAGCGCCAAGGACCTCGGCTTGAATGGCTTTTTTTTGTTGTCGTTGTCGTTTCTCCCCCCTCCCCCCTCCCCCCCCCAAGCCCCCGCTCTCGGGTTTTTAATGTGGGTTTAAGGGGATTAAATCTGATGCAATCGGTTGGCTAAGAATAGCCTGGTCCGCGATCCTTCCCATGTGCAAAGTGCTCGGATCCCTGCGTGCTCGCACACGGGAGGTGTGGAGGTGCCGCTTCCAGCGGTGTTCCCCGCGCTGGGATGCGGGCAGGCTCGGTTTTCCGGGAGCTCCTCCGTCTGGCTGGGCAGCCGGAGCTCGGGTTTAAATTGGTATGCGGTGCCCTGACCGGGAGGAATTGCCTTTCTTTATTTGCGGGGAAGTACGAACCTGAGTAATTTGCAAGTGTGGCAGGCAGCAAGTCTGAGCTTATCCTTCATTAGCTGGCGAACTGCACGGGTTGTGTGTCTGGGATAAAGTACCTAGGGAATGTTGCATGTAAAATAAGGTGCTTCTTCACATAGATAAATAAAGCTATAACCATTTCGTAGTTTAATTTAAATTGTGCCAAAAATATTTCGTTTATTGCTGGATGCAGGGCTCTAATCTGACAATCTCTGTCTTCCAAATATGCTCTTATTCTTCCTAAATTTAAGCTTTTCTCTTTTAACTGCTACATCTGTTTGTTTTAAGAGTTAATTCGTTCCCATGCTGTCATTGCTTTTCCCACAGTTTGAGTGGTTTCCCATCTCCCACTCCCTTTTTGGATGGGAAGAGGTTTGTGATTATCAGTGTGGAAGGAGAACACCTTTCTGTTCTGTTAATAGATTTTTTTTTTGACAAAAATTTAGGCTTATTGCTTTAAATAATAACTGAATTAAATTTATTCCTAAGTGAATAGTCATCGAAAATGAAATTGGGACAAGTGATGCCCTTGTAAAAAGGGTTAATTTACATTAGAATTAGAAGTTAGTGGTTGAATATGAAAGGCCTGTGCAGTTTGCAACTGTTATTGGTCTCAGAAAATGAATATTTGGAGTGGAAGTGTAGCAAGCGTCAGGCAGCGTCATTAATCTTTGCAGATGTAGTACCATTATTAGCATCCCTCTTACCTCTGGGGCACAGTTATCTTCAGTTTCCAGACACAAGTTTTATCTTCTATCAAATTCTGGCTCTGCAGCGTAGCTGGTGAGCAGGGCTGTGCTGTTTATTAGGTGCCAGCCTGCCTTAAATCTCTGCTAAATGTGCGAGGGAGAGATACCTCCTGGCTCTGAGCAAGGAGTGAGGGTGAGCATCCTGTTACTTCAGATATTTTTTTCCTTTGGTGGAACAGTTTTAAGGATTCAGGGAGGCAGGCAGTTTGCTGACTTTATGATGTGTGTGTTCCATTCGCCTAAGGAATCTTTATGCAGCTGTGGTGAAAATATTTTTGATGGTGTTGATGTTTTCTTCTGCTTTATTCTCTGCAATCCAGGCATCGTTAATCTGGGCTGTGAATTTATAGCTGGATAAGAGCTTGAAGGCACACGAGTACGTGGTTGTGGTCAGTTCTGTTGTCTTAGAGCCAGACTGAAAAGGGGGGAAAAGGGTTCTCTTGCTTCAGGAATCACCTTTTTTTTCTCTTTTTCTTTTGCATCAGGTCTTGAAGTGTAGGGTGAAGGTTTCTCTTCACGGTGCATGGACGGAAAGCCAATGCGCAGGTAAGATACAAAAAACAATTGTTCTTCTCTTATCCAGATAGGATAAACAATTTGAGTTGGTTTTGTATGTGCTTAGACTGTAAAATGTTGTTTGGTTTTAGTTTTTTGTTTTTTTTTTTTTAAAAAGCTTGGCTAGGAGAACTAGAATATAAATCGTTCCTCCTTAGTCCTTACTTCAACGGATTTAGTTTTCAATATTTACAAGACCAGATGTCTTTAAGGAAGAGTATGGAACACAAGTTATAGTAATTCTCTACCCCCCCTTTACTTCCCCCATTTACTGTCATATTTAAAATTCAGTGTTTAACTGCTTAGGTATTCAAATTGTATAAAATAATCTGCCTGGGAATAAATTTAAACTTGATTTCCAAGGGGCATTATTTTTCCCTTAACTGAGGGAGTTTGATGGGTGAGGTCTTGGGTGAAAAGGAGATTTCCTTTTCTAATTATGGATGCCAGCTGCCTCAGCTCTAATGAGCTGAAGATGCAGCTGAAGTTTAATTCAGGGGAGTTCTTGCTGTGGTTATGTCAGAAACATTATCTATCATATAGAGAAAAAGTTGTCACAGTAATTCAGCACAATGACAGGTTTGCAAACAGGGTTTCCTGCTAGTTCTAGTTGCTTTTCACTATTTGATGGCAATCCCACGACAGAACTTAACGGCAAATATATTTCTGTACATGATGCAGGCTGTGTGGAAGCTGAAGTTCTTCTCCTCTAAATGAACTCAACTTATGCATTTTGCTTATTCTGTGCTCTTTGGGATGTCAAAAGAAGGAAAACTTTATAATGAGTAATTCTGTAAACAGTCGTGTAAGAGAGGGCAAGAATTTTAACCATAGACGAATATACAGAGCATTTTTAGCTACAGAAACCATTAGCCTCCATTCTGTGTAAAGAGGAAATAAATAAATACTCATTTAAACCCTTGAAGAATGGCATGGTGTTGTTTAATTAAATGAACTTCTCAAGCACAACAAAAAAGGACTGTGCTGCTGCTGCAGTTAAGCTAATGAGTAAACCCTGGGACATGATATGGGCATCGCTGGGGCTGTGTATTGTTCAATACTTTTGCCAAGATAAGAGATGTGGTTTAGGCAATGAGGAGCTGTATGTGACTTTTACAGTGAATTCCTTTTTCTCCAGGATAGATTAAATAGCAGATGAGTTCTCATCCCTCTTAGTCTTCTACAATGGAGATTGTTTAAATCTTAACCAACATAAACCCACAGCTTTTTAGGTTCTTATGTTGTGCTCCATTTATCAAAATGTTTTTGCAAAGTGACATGAAACTGGTGACTAGCTTGGCTTGTGTTCTTGTTTTCTTGTACTCTATTTTTCATGTTCCTTGTGGAGAAATTGTGGTTCTGGATTTATTTTCATGCCTGCTGTTTTCTGCGTGTCGCACTGAGGCAGAGATTTAAAGTGCTGGAGTTCGTGTGTCTTTCCTTTGGGTTTGTGGTCTTGGACTTGCTGTAGTGGAAGTTCTCTTTGTCACTCAGACTGGGTAGTTTTAGTGGTGGACAACAGCACAGGGCTGAAGAAGTAGAGGGTTGGTTTTCTATTATTGCTGCAGTCTGGCCTGACAGGCACGTCTATGTATCGTGCTCTATATTCATTTCTTGAATACGTTTGCATGTTTTAAGGGCCTCTGTGTGGATTGTTAAAATTTCTGTTTGTTCTTTTGCTGCGTGTCTTAGCAGAAGATGATGAAAGGTTTCCAATTGGATTTCGGGCTCAGATCTTCCTATGAAGTCCAGCTAAACAGATGGCAGAGCACTTCCTTTTATGCTTTTACTCCGGGCTCTGCAGCCTTTTGACATGCCATGGGAGGGTCCTGGGAAGTACTGCAAAGAGAGGGGAGGGAGGCTTGGTCAGTACTGGGTTAGTAAACACAGTGAGATGGTATCAAATGCATTCAGAAGGTGGGAAGTACAGTTTGAACAGGCAAGGAATTCCAGCTATTCCTGTCAAGATTATAGTAGAGAAAATGCTTTGATGCTCAAACAAGATGTGTCTTGCATTAGGAATGAAGGGAAAGTTGGGACAGGCTACTCTTGCTCACTGTCAGGGAAGCAGGAGAATGTGGTTTTGCTGAAGGTAAAACTAAGGCAGTGGGGATCTCTCCAGTGAAGGGCATGGTCCTGCAGCACCCAAACAGGGGCAGAGCAGATCTGATGGTCAGGGTCAGCCAAGAGTCCCATACTCCTCAGGCAAGTCTGTAGGGATGAGGAAGGACAGAGATCAAGCCAGGAGGCCAGTTCAGCAGGTCATTATCAGTGGGGTGCACA